ACGCAAACTCCAACATAGCGAGCGAGGTTTCTTCGCGAGTAGAGCCGGGGCAGTTCGTGCGGATGAGCTGCTCCATCGTCTGATTGGTCCGCTTGGTCTGGCCGTCGGTTTGCGGGTGGTAGGCCGACGAGAATTGTAGTCGTGCCGTACTGCGCCCACGTCTCTTTCCAAAAATTCGAAGCGAACTTCGGGTCCCTGTCGCTGACAATTGCTGACGGGGTGTCGTGCAGTCGCACAACGGTTGAGATGAAAAGGCGCGCAGTTTCGTCGGCTGTGATTGTCGTGCGACATGGTGCAAAATGCGCCATTTTCATAAGGCGATCGACGACGACGAGCACCGCATCGTTGCCGGACGGGCCAGCTGGCAGCCCCGTGACGAAGTCCATCGTCACTAGTTGCCACGATCGCTCGGGTGGCTCCAGGGGTTGCAGCAATCCAACCGGCCGCTGCCGTGTCGACTTCATAGTCTGGCACACTCTGCGTGAGGACGCATAACGCTGCACGTCGTTAGAAGAATCAGGCCAGTAATATTGACGTGCAACATTTTCTGGGTTTTGCCAACCCCGAAATGTCTGGAGAGGTTAGAATCGTGGACCTCCTGGATAAGGAGTTCACGCAGCAGCCGGTAAGTGGGAACCCAACTTCGGTCAGTTCCGAATTTTAGGTACTAATTCCCTTTCTGCGTCGTCGCCTGCTAGTGATTCCAGTCATGAAGAACGGGTCCGTAGTGTAGCCGTGGGTGAATAGTCCTGTAAGTAGTGGGTTCGAATGGGTTATCAGTACTGCAGCGGATTGAACTGTCGGGCAGGTAAGGGCGTCGACGACGAAATCCTCTTCAGAGTATACTTGATGATAACTGAATGAAACAATTTGTTTATGGAACAACACGCACCATGGATGAACGATTTCACCTTCTCTGGTCCGCATCGATTCGCAAGCCAATCCTATATCACCTTGTGAGTGTCCGAACCTTTCTTATCGTCGGGATCACCAACCGATGGTGCAGATCCTGCAAATTAGCATTAAACATTAAGTGGTTATCTAATCGACTTTTTCGAACAAGAGCGTACATCTCGATAGATTAGCTAATCACTTTGGCACGAACTCACTTGCACCGAGGTTGGGGGAGGTCCAGGGGGTACCGCCGCCAATGAAATCGAGCGCGCACCGGCCGCCGTGTGTGCATGCACCATTGGAGAAGCGAGGCGGCCAGGCACGCTTAGTATTTGTGGCCTCAGAGGCCAACATTACGGACATCTTCACCAAGGCTCTTCTGCCTGGTGACCAACACAGATTTAGTTCGCATCTTGGTCTCATTCAAACAGGTCCTCGTTTGTTCTCGTTTGTTGTAAACCTCTTGTTTCTTGGTCTTCTTGTTTTGCTGTTTTGTCAGAATGTGTAGTTTGTCTAGCCTGCAGTGGGGTACTCTATAGTGAGTACGGCCCCTTAGGGTTTCCTATATGTATCCACCTGCTTGCTAGTGCAACTCCTCCTTTGCCTATTTTCTCTTGCCTAGCTAGCTAAACCCTAGCTATGGCTCCTCGTTCTGCCTGCTATTGTGACAAGAGGTGGATGGAGCTCCGCTGAGAAATCCTTCCGAGAAATAGAATCTCCATCCTCCACCGTAATGTATATAGTCGATTGAGACGCAAAGCTTTTGTGACGCGCTTCAGGAATGTGCCCTTAGCCCTGATTGTGTGTGTGGATGAGACTCAGCTGATCGCAACAAAGTGTACAGGTGATGCCCACCCCATGCACGCGAATTTGCTCTGCACCGGATGGAAACGCTGCACCCGAGGTTTTTTCCCCAGCCTGTTGCACCCACGGTACAAGCGCGTCGCGTGGTTATGAACCAATTGAAACGAACAGACCGAAGTCAAACTGAAGAGACTGAAGTCAAAATGTCAATGGATAAGGTTACAGATCATTTATATAAGCACCTGCGAATCCTTTTTAGCTAGCTGCGAATTGACGAAATTTATGCGAAATGCCCGATAGAGCTTATACGCCCACTTCACAAGGCAACCGGGATGGGCTCAATCAGGCATCGTGTGTATACAGCCTCTGGTGACTTCAGTTAATTGGTGATACATCCTGTTCTCGATTATTTCACACCCCATCGCACACCTTGGGGTACTTACCCTACCCCTATCGGTTTCGTAGGGTAGTTACCAACGTCTAGGAAAACCGCGGAGGAGGGTCCGACGTACTTTCGGGAACTGTCGGGGTGCACCAGGAATATAAAAGAGAACCCAAACCTAACTAAACCCCAACCCCGAATTCAAAGTGCGAGTTTCTTTCTGAAGGCACCTGCCAGCTGTCTAGTCCCGCAATCTCTGGGTGTCCATCGCATCAAGTCAAAGTCCGTAAAGGGTACATACGAAAACAAAGGGTAGGGGGTGTGCAATTATCGAGAACTAGGTGTATTAACAACTACACCCTGTTTCTCAACGCTCTGACAATCGGGAGCCCCGGCTACAGTGCGAACGTGTGCTTGGATTTTGCGGGCTAGTGCTTGCAACCGAACCCCAGGTAGGTGGCGGGCAAATGCAGTCCAGGAGAACGATACACAACGGTTTCCAAAAGAAACAATGCTATCGCGTAAGGTTGATTGCGGCGAATTGTGCTTATATGCTATGTTCTGGGACCGTTTTGGGCGCGTTGATGTCAGAATAAGCGGAATGTCAATACAGCGAATGTCAGTGTGGCGCGAAACAGGGTGTACGAAGCACCACTTGTTGATACTCTGCAGTCACTTTCCCGTGATTGCTGCTGACGACGAACCTGTGTCAGAGATGAGCGTGGGGAGCGTGTTCCCACGTCAGGGTTGCAGCTTTTTCAAGCCACAGAAGCTTTATGCGGTGAGTGTTGTGACAGTGAGGATAACGGCTGTCTTCTCCACCAATTAAAATTTAGCGGATTCCAAAGTCTTTGGTAGCACTTTCATCTCTGGTTGGTGCAGAATGTAAAGCGTGGGCATCATCTCATCTCTGCCTCCGATTGGGTCTTCTGTTCCTTTGGCAGGACTTGTCGATGATGATTTTTTAAATGCAGTTTCTCTTGTACATTCTGATAGTTTGCGAAGATCCACGAAATGGCCTGTACAGAAGTGTATAACTCAACTGGGCAAAGTTTGTATTGTTTTTTTCAAGGCTTCACGACTTTTGAGGTTTGTTTTTGTCTGCAGCTGAACTATCCCATTGTCACGCAGGTACGTCAGCAGCAAAGAAACCACAGATGCTTCTTCCTCAGTTACACGTCACTGCATCATGGCATCTTCGTTCGCTGGCGGTGATCGCCTTCATGGCATCTTCAGACTGGCGAAGACAAGAGAAACCGCGTTGAGTGATGTGGCATGGACAGTACAGTAGTCAGTGGACCGTCGAACCAAGCATTTCGTACTGAGCTGTACGTATCGAACCAGCTTTGGGGGGTGATTTGGAATGGCGCTGAAGAAACAACCATAACCGCTGGAGGGAATGCTGGAGGGCCATATTTATGTCACCTCCAGTCCGTTCTCGGTTGTCCTCCTCTTTACTCCCACACACGCTAGCCCCTGCTGAGTTGTTAGCTTGGCTTGCGATTTGCAAAGCCAGCACGACAGAAAAACATGCTGACGTCGCGTCGGCTTTTTTAGTCCGAACCGCGGGCACACGCCGGAATCTCAGTACAGCCGCATGGGACGTCCTTCGTCCTCTCTACAGTGCCGCGCGTGCGCCAGTCGTGTTCCGCAACCAGCTTGTCCTCCTCCATTCCAACCAACGTCGCCCTCGTGACCTCGGCTCGTCGTCGTCATCCCTTGCCCCTTCACCTCGCAAAAGCAACCGTCATCATCAACTTGGCGCCGCGAATGGCCATGATTGAGCCGTTCCCTTTTCTCGTCTCACTCCTCCCCTCTCCTCTCCTTCAGCACATCAAACCCCGTCTCGTGTCGTGACTCGTGAGTCGTGACTTCGTCCCGTCAGTCTCGGTCACTGCGGGTCCGATCAGAGCAGCGCGCACAGGCTACGCTTCTGTCTGACCGTACCCCCCTCTCTTGACACCTCCCTCCCTCATCACCGCACAAACACGCCAATGTGTTTCGCTCCCTCTTGACACGCTCTCTTTCCTTTCTCGCTCGTGTGTCAGAGTGTGTAGTCACTCCATTTGCACGTTATCCCCCTCCTCTCGCCATACCCACCCGATTTCCGGGAGGACGTCGTTGCAATTTCCCCACGTGTGTTCGTCCCTCCCCTTCCCCTCAACTCCTCCCTTCCGACCCCACTACTTCTCTTCTTCCCGACACCATGCTTACGTTGTGCGTTTTTCGCGCTTTTGCGCTTTCGCGCTTTTCTGACCTTTTCCATCCTCCTTTTCTCCTCGCCTCGAATTGCGACGGGTCTGCGCCATGTCCTTTTCTCTCTGAGCACCGACCGAGACACGCCCTCCCCCACCCCTGCTCGACGGGATTGCACCTTCCTTCCTTCAAGGATTTCCGAGTTGGCTGAATCTCCGACTTCTTCCTTGAACCTAATCGTACATAATCTGATCCCTTCCTCGAGATTAGCCCAGCGAGCCAATCTGAACCTTTCACGCGTTCGCCTCTCTCCTCACGAGCGGCTTTGAACGGCGAACGCTCTTCCCTTCGTGCGCAGCTGAACCTTCCGCCGAGTCAGGACCTTGCGGATACTAATATCAACGCAGACCGCGTTTCGCTGATCAGTAGAGCCTGCGTGCCCCCGACAGACAGACCGACTAAGCCTGCTCGCCTAATACTACACATCCGTCGACACTCGGCAAACAGACTTTTATCTTCACAGTTGTTGTTAACGTTTGTACCCTACGAGCACTACTACCACTGGTGCTAGGCGAATCAGGCGCTGTGCCTCTAATTCCGCAGTTTATACTACGAGCGGCCGCATTAGCGCCGAGCGGACGCGCAAGACACGCGGCAGAGGGCCCGTTGAACGCGAGCAGGGCCCCTCGGGAACTCAGCGGAACTCTTGCTGGTGGACGAGCAGATGGCGGATCGCCCAGAGTCACTGCGTGACGCCAAGCGCCGGCGCGCATTCACGGATCTCCCCGTAAGTCATGTAACCGCACTGCTCCGTAACCTGCTCCCCTTCAAATCCGTTACTCTCCTCTCCCCCCTCCCACTGTTCTCCTCTTCAACCCCCTCCCCCCTCCCCCCTCTCCCCTCTCCTTCACCCCCCATCCCTCCGCCTCTCCTCTTCCCGTTCCCCCTCACTTTCAGGCGGAGCTGGTGGAGGCGGTACCGCGCCGCTCGTTCTCCGCCTGTCCGCCTTCCGCGCTGACCTCTCCCTCCCTCACCTCCCGCACTCTTCTTCCTCCCCTGTGCCATGTTCCCCTTCATCGTCGCGTGCAGGCGGAGCTGGTGGAGGCGGTACTGCGCCGCTCCGCCAGTCTGCCTTCCGCCTCTCCCTCCGTCACCTCTCCCTCCCTCACCTCTCCCTCCCTCACCTCTCCCTCATCTCCCGCACTCTTCTTCTCCTCCCCTGTGCCACTTCCCCTTCATCGCCGCGTGCAGGCGGAGCTGGTGGAGGCGGTGCTGCGCCGCTGCCTGCAGTCGCCCGCCTGCTCGCCGCGCCAATACGCGCACACGCTCCTCGTGTACGTCACTATCCGTTCCGTTCGCTCCCGAGCCACGCTGACACGCTGACACAGTCACGTACGTCGACTCAAACGCGATACACCATACTCGCGGCGACCAAACGCGTACCTCACGTATCCTCCCTGTTGTTAGGATTGAGAGACAAAAGTATCGCCGCGGCTGGGTGCTCGATGGGAGTCTCTCGACGACCCGGTGTGCAGTAAGCTAAGATTAGGCACGCGGGTGCGCGCGACATGATCGCGAATGACGAGTAGGTGGTGTCGGTATGCTTCCTGACTTCGGCGTGTAGGGATGTTCGAAGAGTCCCCGGCGAGCCGTCTCAGTAAACGATTTACGCTGCGATGCGCGTTAGTTTTAACACGGTTATACCTTCAGGCGCTATCCGTTCATCGTCATCCGATAATCGCAACCGCCGCTCGCATCCCATCCTCCACGTCGCGTACCATGCCGCCAGACCCGTCGCAAATCCATCGCCCGTTGCTTCCGCCCGCAAATGCTTTCCCTGCGCGATCATTCGTGTTGCTCGCACTCTATTTCGCGATTGTAACATTTCGTCCAATACGTAACAATGTCTCGTCCCTCTTTAGTCTCTCAGGAGGAACAAACGGAAATAAAACGATATATGCTGTCAGTCCAATGTATGTTTATGTTTCCGTTACCTCTGATTCCATCCCCGTTACAGGTGCTCCCAGTTTTGTGACATTGGCATGTCCCCCGCGATTTTGCGCATTCTCCCCCCCTCCGTGCTGCTGCCGCGCTTTGAGCGCTGGAGCGACTCCAACCTGCACTTTCTGAGAAGCTGCGCTGCTGCTGGGAACAGCGAGGCCTTGTTTCTTCTCGGCATGGTGACTTCTAACTACTTTTTCGTGCCCCTTCTCTTCTATTCTCTCTATCCACCCCTGCCTCCATCTCGCTTTCTCCTGTTGAAATATGCACTTGCACTTTTTCCTGTTCTCTCCTGTACGACCCCGAACCAGACCGAACCCACCCCTTGTGTCTTCCCTCCTTGTCTGGCCAGACCTACACCTACTGCTTCAACGAACCTAACACAGGCTCGGCACTCCTTACCCGAGCAGCCAGGGACGGACACGTGGCAGCACTGCATTCGCTGGCGATATTTCTGCTCAACCGTGGAAATGCGATGCCCATGAGGGGCTGTGACGGCAGCAGCTGGCACCGTGATCTGGTTACCAGTGGTAACCAGGTCGCCCACCGGCATGCCGCTGGAATCAGCTGCACGGCCAACAGTGGAACCACTACTGAGACCTCCAGTAACATAGCTATGAGAAGCAGCTCTTCTGATAGCAATATTGCTGCTGGGAGCAGCGTTACTGATAGTATTGATGCTGGAAGCAGCATATCCAGTGGCAGCAGCAGCAGCAGCAGCAGCATGCGGGGCAATGATGATGATAGCGGCGCCAGCAGTGCTAGCAGCACCATCATCAGCAGTAACTGCCGTCCCACAACCAGCCCTGATGGGGATAACAACACCAGCCTATCACGGCCGTCATCGTCACAAGCACCCTCACCAGCACCTGCGCGCACGGCAGTGCAGCTGCTGCTGAGAGCAGCGCAGGGCGGCGACATTGCATCGCTGGTGGAGCTGGCGCACTGCGTGCAGCACGGCGTGGGGGCGCGGAGCAACGAGCGCATGGCCCACTTGCTGCTCGCCCGTGCCCGTGCCTTGCAGGTGCTGCGAACGGAACAGGGGCGGCGAGGGGAGCAAGGCGAGCAATTGTGGATGGACCGACAGCAGCAGCAGCAGCAGCAGCAGCAGCAGCAGCAGCAGCAGCAGCAGCAGCAGCAGCAGCAGCAGCAGCAGCAGCAGCAGCAGCAGCAGCAGCAGCAGCAGCAGCAGCAGCAGCAGCAGCAGCAGCAGCAGCAGCAGCAGGAGCAGGAGCAGGAGCAGGAGCAGGAGCAGGAGCAGGAGCAGGAGCAGGAGCAGGAGCAGGAGCAGGAGCAGGAGCAGGAGCAGGAGCAGGAGCAGGAGCAGGAGCAGGAGCAGGAGCAGGAGCAGGAGCAGGAGCAGGAGCAGGAGCAGGAGCAGGAGCAGGAGCAGGAGCAGGAGCAGGAGCAGGAGCAGGAGCAGGAGCAGGAGCAGGAGCAGGAGCAGGAGCAGGAGCAGGAGCAGGAGCAGGAGCAGGAGCAGGAGCAGGAGCAGGAGCAGGAGCAGGAGCAGGAGCAGGAGCAGGAGCAGGAGCAGGAGCAGGAGCAGGAGCAGGAGCAGGAGCAGGAGCAGGAGCAGGAGCAGGAGCAGGAGCAGGAGCAGGAGCAGGAGCAGGAGCAGGAGCAGGAGCAGGAGCAGGAGCAGGAGCAGGAGCAGGAGCAGGAGCAGGAGCAGGAGCAGGAGCAGGAGCAGGAGCAGGAGCAGGAGCAGGAGCAGGAGCAGGAGCAGGGAGGCAGGAGCAGGAGCAGGAGCAGGAGCAGGAGCAGGAGCAGGAGCAGGAGCAGGAGCAGGAGCAGGAGCAGGAGCAGGAGCAGGAGCAGGAGCAGGAGCAGGAGCAGGAGCAGGAGCAGGAGCAGGAGCAGGAGCAGGAGCAGGAGCAGGAGCAGGAGCAGGAGCAGGAGCAGGAGCAGGAGCAGGAGCAGGAGCAGGAGCAGGAGCAGGAGCAGGAGCAGGAGCAGGAGCAGGAGCAGGAGCAGGAGCAGGAGCAGGAGCAGGAGCAGGAGCAGGAGCAGGAGCAGGAGCAGGAGCAGGAGCAGGAGCAGGAGCAGGAGCAGGAGCAGGAGCAGGAGCAGGAGCAGGAGCAGGAGCAGGAGCAGGAGCAGGAGCAGGAGCAGGAGCAGGAGCAGGAGCAGGAGCAGGAGCAGGAGCAGGAGCAGGAGCAGGAGCAGGAGCAGGAGCAGGAGCAGGAGCAGGAGCAGGAGCAGGAGCAGGAGCAGGAGCAGGAGCAGGAGCAGGAGCAGGAGCAGGAGCAGGAGCAGGAGCAGGAGCAGGAGCAGGAGCAGGAGCAGGAGCAGGAGCAGGAGCAGGAGCAGGAGCAGGAGCAGGAGCAGGAGCAGGAAGCAGGAGCAGGAGCAGGAGCAGGAGCAGGAGCAGGAGCAGGAGCAGGAGCAGGAGCAGGAGCAGGAGCAGGAGCAGGAGCAGGGAGCAGGAGCAGGAGCAGGAGCAGGAGCAGGAGCAGGAGCAGGAGCAGGAGCAGGAGCAGGAGCAGGAGCAGGGAGCAGGAGCAGGAGCAGGAGCAGGAGCAGGAGCAGGAGCAGGAGCAGGAGCAGGAGCAGGAGCAGGAGCAGGAGCAGGAGCAGGAGCAGGAGCAGGAGCAGGAGCAGGAGCAGGAGCAGGAGCAGGAGCAGGAGCAGGAGCAGGAGAGGCGGCAGCAAGAGCAGCGGAAGCGGGTGCTGTATGGCGCTTGGAATTGTGCGCTGAGACAAGCAGAGGATGTGAAATCCCAGGTGCTGTCAGCACTGCCAACTGCGCAACTGGCAACAACACAAGAAGCACAGCTGCCACTCATCCCACCAGTAGCAGCACACGAGCCACTTAACCCACCAGCAGCAGGACACGAGCCACTAATCCCACCTGCAGCAGGACACGAGCCACCCACCCCACCAGCAGCACAAGAGCCAATTTTTCCAGCAGCAGCAGAATATGCGCCACTCACCTCTGCAGCAGCAGAACTAACAGCACACGAACTGCACATTTCAGCACCACCAGCACTCGCGGCACCCGCCCCAGCAGCAGCAACCGCATGGCCACAGCAGCAGTGGCTGCCAGTGCCACGTCACCCCATCCACTCCTTTCTGCTGAGATGGCGCAAGCAGGAGGAAGAGCTGGTGGCACATGCGCAACTGCAACAGCTGCTGGAGCAGCAGCAATGCTTACAATGTATGCAACATCAAGAACTGCTGCTATTGGATAGCATACATGAGACTCAGCAGCAACCACCACTTCCACACACACCACCAACACGAGCACTACGACACCTGCTGCTGCACCAACACGCATCTGCCCTACTAATAACAGCGCGGCAGCACCAGCTGCTGAGCCAGCCGCAGACATGTGGGAATCGCGAGTGCGGGAGGAGGGAGATGAGTGCAGGGTCCTTCCGACGCTGCGCGGGGTGCCGTGTCGCGTACTGCTCTAGGAGTTGTCAGTTGGAGGAATGGGCAAGAACGCGTGGGGCTCTGGCTGAGACAGTGTTCCCATAAAATCTCATATAAAAGAAAATAAATTCTCCTTCCCAACCATTTGCTTGCGCCCGTATGCACTTACATTGGTAGTAACTAAGATTCAAGGGCAATAATTTAGCTCGTTAATCATTGATGATTAGTGTTTTTCAAAACTTAGTATGAGAAACACTTCACTAGCATGCCTAGCTGTGGACTGATTCTTTGCATGGCTTTCCCTCTTTTTGCCCGTTGGTAGTGCCATATCTCATAATCACAACCAAAAGAGTCACTTTCTGTTGTGATGGACAAACGGGGATAGCATGCTCCAAAGGATGCAGAGCAAAGAGAAGAAGAGGAGGGGAGGAAGTGGGGTACAAGGGAATACGTAAAAGCATAAGGGGGGACATCAAGAATGTATTTACAAGAACTGCTCTCGTGAAATGCGAAAATTGCAGCATTAGCATGGCGGGACATTGCTGTGTCCTGTCCACCATATTTTTGCAGGTAACAACTTCTGTTTTCATACATAACTTAGGAAAGGCAAACTTAAACTAAAGGCACATAAGCATACAGAAGCATTTCGTCCCAGCACCACACTCCCCTCCCACTTACAGTACCCATTACCCCGCTAACCCACTCCCTGAACCCAAAAGGAGAGTCTCCTTCAACTCCCACACTCCCGGCGCCTACTTGCCTTGGAATTCTCCTCCTTTGGAGTAAGTTTTTGACGAGCATAGAGGTTTTCACGGCGACGCCTTGACTATTCTTTCACGGACGTCTACTTAGCCTCAGCCATGAGTTTCTTGAAGTTGGTCTTCGACGAGTACAGCGTCGACGACTTCCAGTTAGCGGGAATGACTTTATCGAGGATGATCTTCTCAAGGGTGTGTCCCGCGGTGAGGCGCACGCTCATCGCCTTCTTCGCGCCCACAACCTCCTTCGCCTCCGCGCCCGCGATTCCCCACACCGCCTTGCTGCCGTCGCGCGTCAGCTTCACCCACTTCTTGCCGTCCGCGCTAAGCTCGACCTCGATAAGCGTACCTGAGCCGGCCAGCCCCACCATCTGAATGTTGAACTTCTCCGCCAAAGAGTTGCTGCGCACGCGGACACCCGATCCGACGGTCGACACGCAGTTGGTGCGCTTGTACGTGATGTGAACAGGGGCGGTGTCTGTCCCCTGCACGATCTTGGACCACGAGACGGCGGAGAGCGAGAGCTGCTTCTCCGTCTTCGTCTCGCCAACCACGCGGACGGTCACGATAGCCTTGCCGCTGCGGCAGCGCTTTGTGTCGTTGTGGCACTCCACCTTGTAGCACGCGCCGCAGCGCTTGCCAAAGAGGGCGGGAGGAAGCTTCGCGGTGAGCCCCTTGCCGAAGTAGGGGTTTGCGTTATAGTTGCCGTAGTAGGCGCATGTGGAGTTCTTTCCTTCGCTCGCGCCCTTGCTCTTCCTCGCCGTCGCCATTCCGACGGCGCTGTTTCCAATTTTGGTGGCGTTTCCAGACTTAGTCGCGTTGGCAGGCGCAGCTGCCTTAGCAGGAGCCGTCGCGTTAGCAGGCGCAGTCGTGTTTTTGGCGGCCGAGACGCGCGCAGGGGCGGAAAGGAGCACCGCAGAGCAGAGGACGACCACGAGGAAAGTGGTCTTAGCAGGAGACATTCTCACTTCTGTGAAATATTAGACTAGGCTGAACCGTTCTAGCTGGTGCTATGTGATGGATTTTAGGACAAGAGAGAGAAGACGATTGGCACTTGCGATGATATGAAGCGCTATTGCCAGCTCCTATTATACCTGTGGCTTCCAGAAGTAATGCCGTTAGTTGCGGGTTTGGCTTTGCTGGCGCTTGAAGTTTGGAATCCGAGTCGCACGAGGTTTGCGACATGATTGTGCTGTTTTTTGTGGTCTCGCTTCACAATCAAAATTGCTGCGAATAATTGCGGGTTGGGAGTGCGAACTGGCGAGCATTGGGCGCCTTTCGCCGAAGGGTTTCGAACTGATGAAATTGCGAGCAGCAGGACTTGTTCAGTCGCTCGCGAATAATAATTTCGCAATTCAACAGTCGCGATTCGGTGTGACCTAATCCTTGCATCTCGCGCATGCGACGGCGCAATGGACGCGAATTCAGCTGGAGCAGACGGGAACCCGACGGGCTTGGCTGAGATAGTGTAGCCGCATGATTTGTCGCCTCAAGATGAATGTGGGTATCCGTTAAATGCGACTTCTATCAAATAACTATGACTGACCTCTTACAGCAGCTGCATTCAAACCACACATTACATAGAAAATTCGACCAGCGTACTGATGCTTCCTTAGATAAGCTCAAAGAAGACGGTCAGCTATATTAGCTCTGGCCCTAGTTTTGTTCCAAAAAACTCACCATAAACCAAAATGATCCTACCCAATAGACTTCCCTCCATCCACCCACAACCAAGCCATACAAACCAACCATCCCTTCACTGAAACAGGCAGAAAGAGAAACAGGCAAACCGAGCATGTTATCATGCCACGTGTCAGCTGTGTGAAAACTTCTAAGCAGCACTTGGTCTGAGCATGAGGTACTGTAAGGTGTGAAGTGAACCAAGGTGTGAACCGGGAGAGTTGCCAACTGGGGGAGGTTCTATCTAAGCCACGGGCGGCCTGAGCATGTGGTCCTGCGAGGTGTCAACTGAGGTAGGCGCCATCCACTGCCACATCGCCATGGGCGGCGGGCCGCCCGCAAACACCCCTGGCTGACCCATTGGATGAGATACTGCATGTGACACACCGTGTGACACAGCAGCAGCAGTCATGGCAGCGGGCATGGGAGAAGACATGGGGCCGGGCATAGGAGCAGACATGGGTGCAGACATGGGTGCGGTCATGCCTCCCATGTGTGCTCCCTTGGGAGTGCCAAGAGCCATCTGCTGGCACTGCTGCATCTGAGCCGCATACGCAGCAGCAGCTGCATGCATGGCCGCGGCGTGGGGGTGCGGCTGGTATGCCATAGGCGTGGCGGGCGCGGTGGGTGGAGAGTGGTGGAGAGGGATGGCGGTGACGGGGATGGCGGTGGTGGGAGTGGCGGGATGGGTGGGGGTAGCAGCAGCAGCAGCAGCTGCAGCGGCCGCAGCGGAGCCGTTGACGTGCTGCTGCAGCTTCTCGCTTTCGGCCTTGAGCCGGGCCTTCTCCTCACGGAGCTCATGCTTCTCAGCCTGCACGGACCAAAGGACGGACGGAGGAGGGGGTGGTGGGGGTGGCTTGCTTGTGAGAAGTCTCGAAAGCAGCGGATCCGTTGACGTGTTGCTGCAGCTTCTCGCTCTCGGCCTTGAGCCGGGCCTTCTCCTCACGGAGCTCATGCTTCTCAGCCTGCACGGACCAAAGGACGGACGGAGGAGGGGGTGGTGGGGGTGGCTTGCTTGTGAGAAGTCTCGAAAGCAGCGGATCCGTTGACGTGTTGCTGCAGCTTCTCGCTCTCGGCCTTGAGCCGGGCCTTCTCTTCACGGAGCCGGCCCCATTGCATCATTACTGGACTGCATTGTTGCATTACTGCATAACTGCCCGCTTAGCCTAACAGCACCACACCCCCCCACACCCACCTCGAGCTCCTTTAACTGCTCCACTCCAGCAGCGCTGTGTTGCTCTCCTTGAGCTCTCTCTGCTCGTGTGCCGCCAGTAGTGCCTAGTCCTACTGGTGCATCATAACCATTCAAAACCCCTACCCACCCATCCCCACCCACCCACACACACCTTGAGCTCCTTGATCTGTTCCTGCAGTGCGGCGTTGCTCTCTTTGAGCGCCTCTCGCTCAGCTCTTGTGACCTACTTTCCTGCCCCCCTCCTTACCCCCAACAACCCCCCCCCTCCCCCCCCCCCCCCCCCCCACGCACCTTGAGCTCCTTGATCTGCTCCTGCAGCGCGGCGTTGCTCTCCTTGAGCGCCTCTCGCTCGGCGCGCAGCTGGGAGAGCACACGCACCGCGTCACACAGGATGCTCGCCTTGTCCGCCTTGGGGGCCTTTCCAGGTTCCAGTGATCGGCTCAGCTCCAGGAACCTGTGAGCAGGGAGGGGCGGGGGGGGGGGGGTGTTGTTTGAGAGTGCGACTGGAGGGGTGCGCGATGGGCAGTGCAGCTGGGAGAGCACGCGCAGGGCGTCGCACAGAATGCTCGCCTTGTCCGCCTTGGGCGCCTTCCCTGGCTCCAGCGACCGGCTCAGCTCCAGAAACCTGCAGGGCGGTGAGAGTGAGGTGGGAAGGGGGCGGTTGGGGTGGGAAGAGGATCGTGACCAACTCCCACTACGCCTTGCCGGGCTCGAGGAGCCTGCAAGGGGGGAATGGGGACGGGGCGGGAGTGAGGAGGGAAGCGGGCGGCGGGATGGGAAGAGGATCGTGACTGGCTCCACTACGCCTTGCCGTGTTCCAATTGCCGACTCAGCTCCAAAAAAAATGGACAAGGGAAGGGGCGGAGGAAAGGAGGGCGGGGTGGGGGGATGAAGGGCACTCTGACAGATCCCACTACGTCTTGATATGCAATGGCAGTGTGAGTGTGTGTGTGTGAGTGAGTGTTTGTGTGTGTGAATATGTGTGTGTGTGTGTGTGTGTGTGTGTGAGTGTGTGTGTCAGCACTACCATCTGTTATCTGCCTGCCAGCTTCCAATGCAATGCCACTCTCATGATCGCATCTGCCGCACGACTGTTAGCCTACCGTTGCAGGGTAATTTTGAAAAATCTCCAGAATACCCCCCATATGTCACACAATCGGTAACCTGCCAAGCCACCTCTCACCCGCCACGGTGTCAGCGTCCACCTGCTACCTGTCACCGAATGACCACCTGCCACGTGTCACCTGTCGTTGAGTCGGTCGCGTCTCATCTTCTCCCGGTTGGCCTTGCTGCATGACACGTCAGCGGTGGCCGCGCCCTCATCGCGCGACCTGGCACACAGAGAACGGCAGCGCAAGGGCGTGGCAGGGCGGGGATGTGGTGGCAAAACTCAAGAACGGTTGCAAGTCAACTGAAGCGACACGTGGCAACCAATGGGGACACGGCACGTTGGCAATGACAGGTCAGCACGACCTGCCTTCACTCTCGCACTTGCCTTTCGTCTTTCGCTCTCGCTCTTTTCCCCTCATCCTTTCTCTCATCACTCCCTCTCGCCCTCCCCAAGCATCCCCCCGTTCCCCTCACCGCCCCCTGCTGCTCGACCCGTCTTCTCGCATTCCTTCGTGTCCTGCCGCGCCGTCACTCTCGGCGCCACACGCAATTCACTCCCCCCTTCCTCACTCAACCGGTCCCTCTCCCTCCAACACCTTCCCATTCCCCCACCCCCTCTCTCCCCTTCTCTCACGTTTCTCTTCCCCCCACCCCCTCTTCCCCTTCCTTCCCCCCTCTCTCCCCTCCCCCGCACCCCCTACCTCCCCCGCCCATACCTCTTCCTGCTGCTGGAACCCGTCTTCTCGCCTTCCTCCGTGTTCCCGCCGCCGCCCTCGGCGCTGCACAGGCGCGTAGGAGAGGGGGGGATGGGAGAGGAGATACGTAGGGGAGGGGAGGGGAGAGGAGAGGAGTGGGGGAGGGGAGGGGAGGGGAGAGCGTAAGGGCGAGGAGGGGAGGCGTGGGGAGGGGGAAGGGGAGAGCGGAGGGGAGAGGAGCGGGAGGGAACATGGCATTGAGTGGGTGATGGATGAATGGTGTGGAGCGGCACTGGTCCACAGGAGAAGGGATTGGCGTACGGCGACACCGAGTGACTGACGGACTGATGAATGGAGTACGGGTACAGTGAGTGACAGAGTGACTGAGAGACTGAGAGACTGACGGACCGACGAATGGAGTACGGGTACAGTGAGTGACTGAGAGTTTGACGAATGTCGTGAGGCGACACTGAGTGACTGAGAGGCTGACAAATTGCGTACGGGTACAGTGAGTGACTGATGAGTGGCGTGAAACAACCAGTGAGAGACCAACGAGTTTCGTAAGGGGGCAGCGAAAGATTGATGAATAGATGTGACATTCGACGACTGACGAAGCTCGTAGGCGACAGCGAAAGTTTGAGAGATTGCGAAACACGACATCGAGTGTTGGCGAATTGTGTAACACGGCACTGAAAGGTGGAATGCGCGAGACGGCGCACTGAAAGGCTGATCAAACGCGTCTACTGGGAGGGACCTGGAGCGGAGTTTAAAAACCGAGAGGTCTAAAAGAGTAAGGAGATTTCACACAGCAGACCTGATTGCACGTGCTGGATTTTCGGAAGAAGCTAGTGCGTGCGACGCCGCGAGAACAAGATGGCAAATTCAAGTCGCCTTTCTTAAATCCACTAAAATTCGACTAATACCGAATGCACGCGTTGGAGCGATGGTCCAGCAGACGGAATTCTAGAAGCTGGAGAAGAAACCGATCACCTATTAACCTAAACGTGAGCTAGACCAGCGCGTACCTGCACGCGACCTGCTCTAACGCAGGCTGCGACGGCAGCAGCACGCCGGGCACGTAGGTGTCGTCGTCGAGATTCGCCTCCGTCAGAAAGTTCATCCACTTGTCCGTGGACGGTGCTGGGTCCGACGCCATTGGACGTCGCCCTAAAGTTAACTGGGGCTTGCGTGCAACACGCCTAAAAGGGAACCTAAGTATAGTCTGGTCTGGTCTAGAGTAGTGAATGCCGATTAGGGTTTGCGCGAACAAGGCAAGCAGGGAGGCAGGGCTGGTGATCGGTACGCTAGAGGTGGGGAAGGTAATACTTGACCAACATCTCATTTCGTTGGTCGCTAGCTACGAGCTGATTGGTAAATCCCGCTGTCGTGAACTCGACATAGGTAGACTGTATTTTCGTTTGCTTCTCGTTCACTGGAGCGTGTTACCAGGTGTTAGCCATAGATGTTGGTCGCAGCTTGCGGGACCAGGAGCACACCCCCCGCACTGTGCTTCGTGGCACGAATGCTGCCATAGGAAGGATTCGAATGCCCGAACCGCAATCTCGGGGATCAGGTGTGGGCTCATGCGATAGAATAGTTTGATGCTTTCTTGGTTCGGCAGTGAACTTTTTGGTTTGCCGCCTGCAGGGAGGCTAGGTGCAGAACCATATTCCCCACAGAACCAATTATTTCCAACCCAGTTTCTTCCGAAATAAAGTCGGAAGTTTGAGGGGGTATATCAAAACATGTGTTCGAGTATTGTTAGCGTTGCCAGGTTGAGAACCCAGCGGTCTGTTAGGATCAACCAGTACGCGTAGCCTCACAAATTCCCAAGCATAAATATAAACGGTTCTCGAGACTTTAAGACATTTACCCTGTGTACTATCCGCCTAGTGGCAGCAATCGTGGTTCCAAAGCCGCACCGCACCGCATTGCATCCCCTTGGCCCATCCCATAGCAGAAGCTGGTGTCGTTCAGCAAATCGCAACTTCGCGAAAGGCCCGCTTCATCGCGAACAGTTCAGCATTCATAGGTTTCTCATCATGAAAGAATAGTGTGCTTCGAAACCCCGATCTTTCTTGTAGCTTGTGGATATTGCGCTCTTCTCGAAGCATGCTAGCATCGCGTACAATTCCCATCTTTCACGGCTCTTGGGATTTCCACACGTAGTCATCATGCCTCTTCATTCTACGCATGGAGGTAAAGCCGCGCTCTAATGTTCCTGACCCTTCTGATTCGCGGTTCACGGATGTCATCCGCATGTCGTGTCCTAATAATAATTTGGTATAGTATTCTCCGCGCGAGCAACGTTTTATTATCCTCTAATGTCGTTGCTACTAATACGGTGTCAGCCATAGGTCAGCTTCATAATTTGTCTGTTCTAGGCCATTGACTGCGTCTCCCTATCGTAACAGCCATTCTGTACTGTCTTCCTGAACGAATCGAATCTACGTCGCTCGAATTTGCCAGAGCCGTCGGCATGGACGACGTTTGCCAGAGCTCGTAACAGCGCCCATAATAGCCCACAGCTTTAGTGCCCATAGAAAAGAGTCCCTAATTGCTCATACAGTCAGTTTGTTCGATGAGCTGAAATAATGCCGCGAAGGCGCCCCGCACGTTCGGTCAGGGGGGAAGAAACTCGGGATGCGCGGGGCAAGGGGAAGGGAACTGGGAAAGGGAAGGAGAAAGGAACGGGAAAAGGAAAAGGGAAGGAGACGGGGAAGAGTGCAGAGCGCGCGGGGGGTAGGAGTAAGGGCATGGAAACTAGGGGTACGGTTAGAGGGGAAGAGAGAGGAGGAAGGCGGAGGAGGGGACGGAAGGAGGGGAAGGGAGAGAGGGAGGTGAAGGAAGGGGGTAACGGCACAAAGGGGGATAGGGGGAAGGGAGGTGCGAGGAGGAGGAATGGGGGGAACTCTACGGCGGTGAAGACGCTGGTGCCACGGAACGTTGACGACAGGCCAGGTGATTTTGCTGCTTTTGAGTTGACTCAAAAGTCAACTTGGTCAAAACGTTAATGCCCAGGAACACTGACGACAGGCCAGGTGATTTTTTTTTTTCTGCTCAGGTGATACTGCCGGTCCAGTGAAGTTTGTTGCTGAGGCTGTTGAGGGCGAAATTTTCCCTATGCTCAGGTGAAATTTGTTGCTGACGCACACCTATGATTTGTTCCCCTCCAATCCCTCTTCCCCTCTTGTGCGTCCGTTCCGCCCTCCCAACGCCAGTATTTTGTGGGTTTCCCCCGCAGCAGCCTGTGGGACGTGCGTGTGCTTCCAGAGGGGGTGACCCAGCAGTATAAGAAAGAGGCGTGTTCTAACCCCAGCAGTATAAGAAAGAGCCGAGTCACGATCCAACCCCATGCTACGCTGCCCTCCCTCCCCCCCCTCCCCTGCGCCAGTCTTTGAGTGCTTCCACCGCGGCAGCCTGTGGGACGTGCGTGTGCTGGGCAGAGGGAGCGACGCAGCAGCTGGGCACCTTCCACATCATGACCGTGCGCATGGGCTTGGCCACTCTTCACATGGCCACCTTTCGCAGCATAACCATGCACATGACCAGCTTCCACACGAACATGCGCATGGGCACTCTGGGCAGCATGGACTTGAGCACAATGATGATGGTGATGATGATGATGGGGATGTGAATCAACATCAGCAGCACCACAATTATCAGCACCATCAGCATCATCAGCACCATCAGCACCATCAGCACCATCAGCACCATCAGCACCATCAGCATCATCAGCATCATCAGCACCATCAGCATCATCAGCACCATCAGCATGCCTGTAGCTTGTTGCATGCCTGTAGCTTGTTGCATGCCTGTAGCTTGTTGCATGCCTGTAGCTTGTTGCATGCCTGTACCTTGTTGCATGCCTGTAGCTTGTTGCATGCCTGTACCTTGTTGCATGCCTGTAGCTTGTTGCATGCCTGTACCTTGTTGCATGCCTGTAGCTTGTTGCATGCCTGTAGCTTGTTGCATGCCTGTAGCTTGTTGCATGCCTGTAGCTTGTTGCATGCCTGTAGCTTGTTGCATGCCTGTAGCTTGTTGCATGCCTGTAGCTTGTTGCATGCCTGTAGCTTGTTGCATGCCTGTAGCTTGTTGCATGCCTGTAGCTTGTTGCATGCCTGTAGCTTGTTGCATGCCTGTAGCTTGTTGCATGCCTGTAGCTTGTTGCATGCCTGTAGCTTGTTGCATGCCTGTAGCTTGTTGCATGCCTGTAGCTTGCTGCATGCCTGTAGCTTGTTGCATGCCTGTAGCTTGTTGCATGCCTGTAGCTTGTTGCATGCCTGTAGCTTGCTGCATGCCTGTAGCTTGTTGCATGCCTGTAGCTTGTTGCATGCCTGTAGCTTGTTGCATGCCTGTAGCTTGTTGCATGCCTGTAGCTTGTTGAATGCCTGTAGCTTGTTGCATGCCTGTAGCTTGTTGCATGCCTGTAGCTTGTTGCATGCCTGTAGCTTGTTGCATGCCTGTAGCTTGTTGCATGCCTGTAGCTTGTTGGATGCCTGTAGCTTGTTGCATGCCTGTAGCTTGTTGCATGCCTGTAGCTTGTTGCATGCCTGTAGCTTGCTGCATGCCTGTAGCTTGTTGAATGCCTGTAGCTTGTTGCATGCCTGTAGCTTGTTGCATGCCTGTAGCTTGTTGCATGCCTGTAGCTTGTTGCATGCCTGTAGCTTGTTGCATGCCTGTAGCTTGTTGCATGCCTGTAGCTTGTTGCATGCCTGTAGCTTGTTGGATGCCTGTAGCTTGTTGCATGCCTGTAGCTTGTTGCATGCCTGTAGCTTGTTGCATGCCTGTAGCTTGCTGCATGCCTGTAGCTTGTTGAATGCCTGTAGCTTGTTGCATGCCTGTAGCTTGTTGCATGCCTGTAGCTTGTTGCATGCCTGTAGCTTGTTGCATGCCTGTAGCTTGTTGCATGCCTGTAGCTTGTTGCATGCCTGTAGCTTGTTGCATGCCTGTAGCTTGTTGCATGCCTGTAGCTTGTTGCATGCCTGTAGCTTGTTGCATGCCTGTACCTTGTTGCATGCCTGTAGCTTGTTGCATGCCTGTAGCTTGTTGCATGCCTGTAGCTTGTTGCATGCCTGTACCTTGTTGCATGCCTGTAGCTTGTTGCATGCCTGTAGCTTGTTGCATGCCTGTAGCTTGTTGCATGCCTGTAGCTTGTTGCATGCCTGTAGCTTGTTGCATGCCTGTAGCTTGTTGCATGCCTGTAGCTTGTTGCATGCCTGTAGCTTGTTGCATGCCTGTAGCTTGTTGCATGCCTGTAGCTTGTTGCATGCCTGTAGCTTGTTGCATGCCTGTAGCTTGTTGCATGCCTGTAGCTTGTTGCATGCCTGTACCTTGTTGCATGCCTGTAGCTTGTTGCATGCCTGTAGCTTGTTGCATGCCTGTAGCTTGTTGCATGCCTGTACCTTGTTGCATGCCTGTAGCTTGTTGCATGCCTGTAGCTTGTTGCATGCCTGTAGCTTGTTGCATGCCTGTAGCTTGTTGCATGCCTGTAGCTTGTTGCATGCCTGTAGCTTGTTGCATGCCTGTAGCTTGTTGCATGCCTGTACCTTGTTGCATGCCTGTACCTTGTTGCATGCCTGTACCTTGTTGCATGCCTGTACCTTGTTGCATGCCTGTAGCTTGTTGCATGCCTGTAGCTTGTTGCATGCCTGTAGCTTGTTGCATGCCTGTAGCTTGTTGCATGCCTGTAGCTAGTTGCATGCCTGTAGCTTGTTGCATGCCTGTAGCTTGTTGCATGCCTGTAGCTCGTTGCATGCCTGTAGCTTGTTGCATGCCTGTACCTTGTTGCATGCCTGTAGCTTGTTGCATGCCTGTAGCTTGTTGCATGCCTGTAGTTTGTTGCATGCCTGTAGCTTGTTGCATGCCTGTAGCTTGTTGCATGCCTGTAGCTTGTTGCATGCCTGTAGCTTGTTGCATGCCAGTAGCTTGTTGCATGCCTGTACCTTGTTGCATGCCTGTAGCTTGTTGCATGCCTGTACCTTGTTGCATGCCTGTAGCTTGTTGCATGCCTGTAGCTTGTTGCATGCCTGTAGCTTGTTGCATGCCTGTAGCTTGTTGCATGCCTGTAGCTTGTTGCATGCCTGTAGCTTGTTGCATGCCTGTAGCTTGTTGCATGCCTGTAGCTTGTTGCATGCCTGTAGCTTGTTGCATGCC